GGAAGGTGACTTTTGGTATTTATTTTTAATGAAATGATCTCCAAAAAATGGGAATGAATTTCTAAAAATAATGAAATGATCTCCAAAAAATAATTGAAAACTGTCACCAATAAAAATGAAATGATAGCGAAAAATAATTAAAAGTGTACTGAAAAAAAAAGAAATGGTGTCCAAAAAATAAATGAAAACGATCTCCGAAAAAATTATACAGCCGAAAATAATAAATTGTCATCTAGAAAAAATGAAATTATTTGCAAAAAAAAATAGAACGGTCTTTAGAAAATCTTATTTTGGCTACCTTAAAAAATAAACTGGTGTTTAGAAATAAAAAATTGCATCCAAAAAGCTTCTTTTTATCTCTATAAATAAAATAAAACGAATTACATACGTAATCCAAACTTTTCCGCTCCGCAGCGATTTAGTTTAGCTCTCGCTTAATGTTTAACCAAAACTTCAATGGACCCTTTTTTTCATAGCATTTTTGACCTTAAAATATAACTATTTCGACCATTTTCCATACAAAAGTGTCATTTTCGAACAAAATTTTAAAAATTTCAAGAAATGTTGATTTTGGACCAAATTTATGGGCAAGCAGGTGTTCGGTTGTTTGAAGGCTCCCATTATTTTTGCAAAAAAACATCAGTCTGCTTTGACCAAAACCCTAAAAAATGGCTTTCTGTGTGATTTTTCATATAAAAGTCTACTTTTCGAGGAAAATTTCAGGAAATGTCGATTTTGGACCAAATTTATGGGCAAGTAGATGTTCGGTTGTTTGAAGGCTCCCATTATTTTATAGATATTTTTCCTTATTGTGAGTAAATTTTCACAATAGTGAATGCGAAAAATACTTTTGAACCTCGTATGTAGTGATAATACAGCGTCCTAGCGTCACTCAAAATGATATCAGTCATTTTGAGTGCTAAATCCACGCACAGGAGCGTCACTCCATTTTAACCTCGTCTAGAGGTTTTTCATCTGATATGCATTTTTTGTCATTCAGATTATTTTTCAAGACAAGTCAAAAGGGTCGAAAAGTCATAACTTTTAGCTATTTTATCAACTGTGGCATTTAAAATCGGAAGCGACCATTTCAAAATGAGGCTAAACTGTTTTTGACATCACTTTCAATCGTGTATCATTAATATCCATTTATCGCCGTACAGATTTCCCGGCATTAATATTCTAATAATTATTAACATTAAGAGAAAAACGGTTGTTTGGATTTCGAAGAAATTCTGAATAAACGGAGAGTGACGGGCGAATTTTTCTGGTGAAAAACATTTTTTTCTCTACCGTTAATATCAGGCTCTGTTATAAACGATATTTTACAATTGGTACGATATTTTTGGCATTATTAATAACAAAATTTTACGATATTAATAACAAATAAAACGAATTACATACGTAATCCAAACTTTTCCGCTCCGCGGCAATTTGGTTTACCTCACGCTTAGTATTTAACCAAAATTTCAATGAAAACTCTTTTCATAGCACTTCTGAGCTTTAAAAATAACTATTTTGACCATTTTCCATATAAAAATGTCATTTTCGAACAGAAGTTCAAAAATTTCAAGAAATGTCGGTTTTCGACCAAATTTATGGGCAAGTAGGTGCTTGGTTGTTCGAAGGTTCCCATTATTTTTGCAAAAAAACATCAGTTTGCCTTGACCAAAACCCTAAAAAATGGCTTTTTGGGTGATTTTTCATACAAAAGTGTCATTTTACAAGCGTTTTCAGGTACAGATTTAAATTTTCGATATGTTATGAATATGTTATAATGCAAAAAAAAATATGTTTTAAAAAAAACATAACATAATCAAAACATATTTATATCTTCCGAAAATATTATAAACATAATTTCCGACTAAATTATATCGATATAATATTTTATTAACATAATTTCCGACCAAATTATGTCGTTATAAAATTTTATTAACATAATTCGGGAAAATTATGTCGTTATAAAATTTTATTAACATAATTCGGGAAAATTATATCGCATTATAACATATTCTCAACATATTTTCATACATTTTTGCGGCAAATTTGTTTTCGACCACTTTTCACAAATTTGTCATGTTTTTTCATGTTTTTTCACAACATTTCACGATTTATCATGTATTTTCGTGTTTTTTCTTCATGTTTTGTAATGTTTTTTCATGTTTTTCTGCGATTTTTTAAAACACACAAGAACAAAGAACGAGAACGATACAAACACTCAAACACACACTTTTTGTTTCTTCTGACTTTTGTATATGACTTTGACACTTGACTTGTACTAAAAACCGAGCTAAAAACTAAACACATACACATACAGCAAACAGCATGCAACAAATGACAACTCACGACTCACGAAGAAAATGAAAAAGAAGAAGAAGAAGAAAGACGCTTCGGGAACATTCTATTGCGTCGCAATAAATGCTGTCAAGTTTGCTTATTGTGAAGTGTGCGGTTGTTCGTTGCTCATTTTGTTGCAATTGATTCTCTATTGAACATTGAAGGATTGAAGCAAAAGAACAAAACAGTTTTCGTTTGTTTGTTGTTTGTTCTTTTTTCAACTTGAAACAGCGCGAAATTTTTTTTTCTTTGTTGTTCGTTTTACTTTTTGTTCTGTGATTTGTGTTGAATTTACTGCGCACATTGACATTGGCACATTCCAATCGCAATAAAAAAAATGAATCGACGAGAACATCAACAATGGCAAATTTCTGAAAATGCTTTTGCACGTGCCAGTGGAACTTCGAGTCAAATTTCAAAACGAAAGCGCATCGGTGATGGATCAACGCCCAAAAGAGCGAAAATAATCAAAACAGTAGAATCGCAATCGGCGCCCACCCAAACTCCAACCACAAATTCGTCATCATCGTCGTCCACATCCACAGCCAGCACCGCCACCGCCACCACCACTGCCACCGCTACAACCACCACCACTAGACCCGTTGTCAGTCATAACTCAAACACAATTCCATCGGCTACGACAACTGGTCCTGTTCGAAGTGCGTCTGCACCTGGAAATGGAAATGTTGTCCGTGTGAACAATGACAGTAATGTGAACGACGAGTCGGCTGAAATTAAGCGCATATATATATGAAATATGAAATTTAAATTGGATTCGGAATCGGAATCCGAACATCGAACAAACAAATATGACTCTTTTCCGTTCTCGTTTGTTATTTCTTTCTCTTTTTTTTTTTGAAATTGCTATTGTTATTGTTGTTACTGTTGAATTGAAAAATGAAAAATTAAATTGAATTTTGACCGTGGACGAAAAGAAAAAAATGTAACATTTCACTCACTCATTTATATATATAGAAATGACGAATGACATGAAAAAAAAACACGAAAAAAACATGAAAATTTTCAATAAAACCGCTGGAAACCCCATTTTCCGTCGAAATGTGCGTTATGTTTTGAAAATATGTTAGTACCGGTCAAACATATTAATAACCTGGATTATGTTATGTTTTTCGAACATAATATAATTCGCATCGAAATTATGTTAGTACTTCAAACATAATATAATTTTGCGTCGAAATTATGTTAGTGTTTCAAACATAACAAAATTTTCACCCGAAATTATGTTAATAATTATAACATAATTGAAATTTTGCCCAAAATTTATGTTAATAACTATATTAATAACCATGTTTTCCCGTTATGTTAATAACATAACATATAATATTTTAGTATCCTTAAATCTGTATTTTCAGGTCATCAGTCGGAGGCTTATGGTACAAATTTGGTAAATCAGAATGGGCTCAAAATCAATCCGAAGCTTTTTCCCGACATGCCAAAACTTTTGGCTCTTACACATCGCAATTTTGCACATTTTTCATAGTAAACAAAGTATTTTTGGATGCAAATAGGTCTTGATCGATAGGATTTGATCCCATCTACATTGCCTAGCGTACAGATATGTGCTTTTTGAAGTTTGGCGCGACGTTATAGTGGTCCGAAAGAGGAGATGTCATGAAATTCTGGCTAGTAAAACCAATACTTTTCCATACAAACAAAGTTTGCGGAAAAGTAAAAAATCGCATTATTAATGCAAAAAAATCATATTATTAATAACATAAATATCGTATTAATCGTCGCATTAACGTTAATGTTACATTAATGTCATTGGTTATTAACACTAACACTAAAGTAATAACATTTTTTGTTATTAATATTTTAATAACATTAAATTAATGCGATATCGGAATATTAATACGATATCGAAAAAAGTCAATCTGTATATCGCCGCATAGTTTCAGCTTGATTCCAATACCCAATGCAATGTGTTGTTTATTTCAAATGGTGTTAATTGAATTAAGTTGCTTAAATTGAATTACGATGTATGAGAAACCCATTGACTCATTAGAAAAGAGAGAGGGAACGATTTCGTTTTCAATATTATGAGAACAAAATGAAGAAATGGGGCAACGTGCAAATTAAATTAAATCCATAGTAAAAGATTCCATCTGACAAAAACAAAACACAAATCCGTGTCAATCATTAAAATCGTTTTGATTGAGCACCGGCTTAGTTCGATGTGAACAATTGTTGAGTGTTTACTAAATCTTTTCGAACAAATTTTGCTGCGATTTGGACCATTTGGTTAAAAAGAGTATTTTGATGAAAATAAATGTGTTAACATAAAATTCACAATGTATTTAACAGTTTGGCTTCTACTGGGATGCGCAATTTTTTGCGTTTATTCCATAGCTCGGTTTTTTATCAAGTTCAATCGACGCAAGCAACGCATTTTAAAATATGTTGAACACTTATCATCACCAAAGGAATATCCAATCATTGGAAGTGGCCTTCGATTCTTTGGCAAAAGCAGCGAAGGTAGGAATAACCTAAGCGAATTTAGTAGAACTGTGCAAATTCAAGAAGTTGAAATTCAAAACAGTTTCTTGGATAGTTCATGATGAAAAACTCATGACAATGATCCGCAACTAAAATATACATGTGCACACAAAAATTTAAAATGACAAAAATAGCAGTGATACTAACACGTAAAAATAATTTAAATTAATCAAAAATGTTCTTGAAACCCCAATAGAAATGATGAAAGAAGCGGTGGAGTTTATGGAACAAATGAACACGCCATTTTACGCTTGGTTTGCTGGAGCTTTGGTGATGGTCATCGATCATCCAGATGATGCATACACTGTGCTGACCTCGAAATCGTGCATGGAAAAAGCATTCGTTTACAAATTTTTCAACATGGGTGCATCTTTGTTCACTGCACCAGGTGCGTTTATTGCTTAGAAAATCGGCAAATAGTCATTGACCGATGAGCAATTTTGTCAGATGGGATTTTTTTTACAAAGAGAAGAGAGAGAGTTAGAGATTAACAGATTCCCATTTTTTTTAACTATTTAAATATAACACCTTCATGCATCAATTTCAGTAAGAGTCTGGAAACCGCACCGCAAAATCCTCAACACAACCTTCAACTTGAAGATTCTTCAGTCATTTGTTCCGATTTTTTGCGAAAAAGTCAAGTATTTAGTTCGAAACTTGGGAGAAAAGATTGATGACGATTATTTTGATATAACGCCAATGGTTCATACCTGTGCACTGGAGATGGTATGCGGTAAGTTTTTCAAGACTTTACTTTGTGCTTGGATTTAGCTCTAAAACGAATTTTCCTTTACTTTTTCTCCTGAAAAAAAAAATGATACTTTTCAAATGTTCACAGCCACCACAATGGGAGCTGACATAGAAGCGCAAAATGGAAAGAATGCCGACTACGTTGAGGCTTTGGGCAAGTAAGATCAACCCAGACATTTGTTAAGTGATGCAAATTTCATAGTTCTCATTTTCAGTTATTTGGCCGGTGTTGCAAAGCGAACATTCAATTTCTTCTATCACTTTGACTTCATTTACAAAAATTCGCCGCTGTATCAACAGGATCGTAGATACACGGAAATTGCTGAGCGTTTGCCATGTAGAGTAAGTGTTTGGTTGAATTGGTTGATTCATTTGTGAATCAGTCGTGAGTCATTCAAAATGAACCATTCTGACATGGAATGTCATTTACTTCAATTTGGTTTACGAAAGTTTGAGACACAGTTAGTGATATCGAATCAATTTGATTGGAATTATTCACACTGACGAACTATCTACTTTATATCGAATTTCTCAGGTGATTGAAGCACAAAAGCAGGAATATTTCCGCGAAAATCCGATTGGAAGTGCCGATACCACACCAGAAATCGATGATGAGGATGAAGATCGTTGCTATGAGAGCCCACAAATTTTCTTACGACAACTGTTTAAACTGTACAACAAGGGATTGATCGACGACAAAAATATTCGAGATCAAGTTTATTTGATGGTAAATATCTGCAACAGATAACGTGTTTCAAGTTTTGCTTCATGTTTCCCAATTTAACTGCCTAGAAACTGATGATAAAAACCAATTTAATGAAATGGTGATAATCCAAGATGAGATAGGTTCATTTAATAAAGTAGCAAAATTTAAGAAGAAAAATCGGATTTGAAAACTGAAAATATAAATCAATATCATTTTCAGATTTTTGCCGGCAATGACACCGCCTCATTAACTTTGTCCTATGCCCTTTTGTTGTTGGCGATTCATCCCGAATATCAAGAACGAGCATTTGTTGAAGTTGATCGAGTGTTCCAAGATGCGCCATGTGATGAAAAGATCACCTACGAGCACGTTACCAAATTGGAATTCATAGAGCAAATCCTACGCGAAACCCTTCGTCTCAATCCAGTTGCGCCCTATATATTACGTTGGTGCCGTGAAGACACAAAAATCCGAGATTGTACAATTCCACGCGACACAACGGTCATTGTAAATCTGTACACAATGCATCGCCGTGAAGATATTTGGGGCCCAACGGCCAACGAATTCAATCCCGATCGATTCCATCCAGACGAAGTAAAAAACCGAAACCCACACGCATATGCACCATTTAGCTTGGGCCCAAGAAACTGTATCGGAATGCGATATTCGTACATCGCAATGAAAGTAATTTTGGCCACTTTGCTGCGGAACTATCGCTTCACAACCAACCTCAAAATGAGTGACGTACGCATGCGCTACGAAATTACATTGAAAAATGTTCGCGGAAATATGGTGCGAGTGGAACGACGAACTGATAACTAGTTGCATCTGATTACGTAATACTCAAAATGAAATGTTTTTTTTTATTAAACGAGCTCAGCCAGGGCCTTCACAACATTGCGTCAAAAGAGAGATAAAAAACAAAGTAAAAGTAATAAAAACCATGTTCTTTATGTTCTTTTTGGCCGAATAAAAAAAATTGTGTATTTAAATTACCTTGAACTTGTGATTGATATAAAACACAACCAAAACCAGTTTCTTTCTTACCAACGATTCATTTGGAGTGTCTGCTTTTGTGCTGCGTTTAAATGTTATTGTGAAAGTTTCGAATATTGAAACCGTACCTACTCAATTAGACATGTCATATTAAGTGCGAATGAAAGACAACGATTTTGAAATTCATTCATAAATGTGAAATTCACACATTTTCACACTTCTTTTCTAATTGTAGCCTTCGAATCGGCGTGCGAACGTTTTTAATGGCTTTGATTGAAAGTAAGTTTTACGTTTTTCTTCATTTTTTATTTGCATTTTGGTATGAATTAAGATTTTGAATGATCATTTAATCACTTTTATGTGACTTTATCAAATGTGCAAATTGATGAAGATTTTGGATTCTGAAAAATTTCTATTTCTCATGTTAAAATAGCAGTTGTTGTTTACAATTGACTATTTCACTTTGGAAAATATAACTATTTTAGCACAAGCGGTAAGTAAAAAATTGTGCAAAATAATATTGTATTGATGTTTCAACTTTCAATTGATTAAAATTATGTTCGTTCTTCAATTTCCACCATAATGCCATTGGCTGGTTTACACGTGACTTCAAGTCTAAATTTGATGTCGTCCATTCCTAAGTGTGTGGAGATTCGATATTTGCGGAACAATTTAGCCAGAATGATTTTGACTGAAATGAAGGCAAACTTTTGTCCCACACAATATCGAGTACCATTACTGAATGCCATGAATGCGTATGGACTGCGTTTCGACTCTCTGCTGAAGTGATCGGGATTGAATTCATCAGCATCATCACCCCAAATGTCCTTGCGGCGATGGACTGTCATAATTGAAATCACAACTTCAGTGCCAGCTGGAACCACACAATTAGCTAATTTTGTATCTTCAGTACAGTGTCGTAGTAAAATCGGTACGGCCGGATACAATCGCAATGTTTCTTTGATGACTTGTTCCAGATAAGTCAATTGATTGACCTGTTCCATTGTCAAGTCAGCATCAACTGGTTGATCGCCCAACACTTCATTCAATTCTTTCATGACTCGTTTTTCGATTTTTGGGTGAATTGCTAATAAGAAAATTGCCATCGCAATTGTAAAGGCAGATGTATCATGACCAGCGAATATTATCAAGTTCACTTCATCTCGAATTTCTTGATCGGTAACGATTCCCTTGCTGTACAATTTCAAGAGTCGATCGATAAAAATTTGGGGCTTTTCATACTTCTGATCGTCTTCGTCATCATCATCATCATCTTTTTCAATGATTGGATCATTACTATTGCTTTCTTTGAGCTGCGACATTTTTTGGTCGATCACCTTGGAATGGGTTGGAAAGGGGATATTTCTTTGAGCATTGAGCTAGTAAGTTTGTATCAATCCTACCTTATTCGGCATGATCTCAGACCGAGTAAGCCAATCACATTCGATGCGATAGGCCTGAGTCAATTTGTAAATAAAATCCGGATACAAAAACACATTAGCCATTCTCCGGGCAACAGCTGAGAGCCATCTGTTGAATAGAAACAGTCAAGTCACCTTAATTTGTTGCATAAGTTAAGAATTTTTGCTTACTCAGAAAAAGCTTCCATATAATCAGTATTTTCACCGTCCTGAATTTTCATGTGAGTTCCCAACACCGTTGCTGAAAGTATATTCGAATGAGTGAAAAAATAGATTGCGTTTAGAATTTTAAATTTAACTCCTTTACCACAAACTGTATCCAAAGTGTAGGCCGAAGTCAAATGCATAACGTCAAAATGACCCTTGTCAATGTGTCGACCAACATTTCGAATGAATAAATTGGATTTTTGATTGAAAATCGGCAGAAATGACCAATTAACCTGATTGTTGAAAGACGAAGATAGTTGTTTACGTTGTCGCTTATGAACGTGAGCTGTTAAAAAGGGTGAAAATGAAAGAAAATACTCCAATTCCGTAGGAAATAATTCCCCAACAGTATGTTTAATGTCAAATATGCTTTTTATTGACCAATTCAAATTGTCTAAAGGGTTAGAATTCTTGTATTGTACTAAATATGTAACGTTTATATTTTGGACAGTAAAAATATATTGTATACCTGGGGCTGCGAACAATGCAGTGCCACGATTGAAAAAGTTGTAAATGTAACCTTTTTCCATGCATCCATTGGAGTTCATGACCGTTTGGATGTCATCTGGATGATCAATGACCAAAAAACTCTTGGGTCCCAGCCAAAATACGAACGGGATCTTGGTTTTGGAAGGAATATCTTCCAGCACTTCCATCAATTCTGTAAAATTTTCATACAATTACACAGTGCAACCTACCTATTTTGTTCGGCACCTATGTTTATCTTCACTTTTGATTGCTTCAAAATTGGTGTCGAATGCAATTTTCATTAAAAAAGCATACTCTTATACTTTTGTACAACTTTCAGCTTGAAACACATTTCGCTGCCGAACAAAATAGGTCGATTTTTGAACGAAAATCGAACATTTTTGTACGGGAGGTACCCATATTTTGCATCCGATTGATTCCCAATCAAACACGATTCGATATTTTGATGAAAAAATAAGAATTGGAAAGTTTCATGACGATCGCATTAACGGTTGTGTGGTTTTGGCAACTTTTATCTTTGCAAAAATCCTTGAACTTGCGATTTTACCACATCACTCAAACACGGATTGTGCGCGAACCACACCACAGATTTTGATGACCAAAAAACTGTTCGTATAGATGCTAGCTACAATAATAATGTGCTAAAGCATGGCGATTTTATGGACTTTTGGTGTATTTTAGCACTACATGAAATGTAGAGCTACTAATCTGATTAGTTTTTTTTCTTAATACTTTTTGAGTGATGAAACAAACTATGGTGAATTTGAATTTTATGCTCATATTTTTTATTTAATTTAAAACAGGTGCACTAACGACAAATAAGTACATAATATCTCAAAGCGCCAATCAAATTTTTTTTATAAAATGTTGTTTAAAAATTACATTAATTTTTCGTATAATATTTTCTGTGAGTCTTTTTCTTCTATGCTCATATTATTTATTTAATTTAACCCAAACGCAGTGTATTTCAAAAAATAGATTAAACCAAGATCTTGTAATTGATTTTGCAAATAAATATATTACTTCAAAGTTACTTTGATGAAATACATTTCATGTAGTGCGCCAAAAAATAGTTTGTTGTGAAACAACAAAATAGATTAAGTAACCAACAACTCAAGAACGCAGAGCGGAGTGAAGCGAAGCTCTGCGGTCTTGTTTCCACTAGTAGCGCACACGTTTTGACCCATACCTCGAGAACTACTTGACCGATTTTAATGAATGTGATATCAAAATGCTCGTAATATTATCTTCGGGGCAACCGAAAACATTTACGAAAAAAGTCAAAATATTTATTTATTTATGCACGAAAAAATATCGAAATATTTACGATAAACTAAAAATAAGCTGAAAATATTTACGATAAAAATAAGTGGAAAAAACCTTATATTTTGAATATTTCTTGACATTTTCGACAGTTAAGTATTATTCGAAGTTTTTACAGAAAATGATAACGTGTTTAGCTAAATTTTCTAAAAGGAATGAACGTCGATTGTCACGCAAAACATTCTTGTATATTAGGGGTGATCAATTTTTAAGAAAAAATGGATTCAAAATTTAATAGTGCGGGATCGATAGATCATGAGGAGAGATGAAAATTTTGTTCTGGCACTTTTTTTATATTTAGTACCTGGTGTCACCCCGGCCTTTTTTAGAAAATCACCTGAAAAATGACCATTTTTCGATATATTATCGCAATTTGCTCCAAATGTGATGCATAAACATACCGTTTTTTGGTTGTAATTTAGTAGCTCGTAGAAAATTACGTTGAATAGGATCGATTCACAGCGATTTTTTTCAGGATATTTAAAAAAAATAGTGTCAATTTGCCAAAAATCCAGTTCACTATAAAACACCTTTATCCGACTCAACTTGTTCCGAGCTATCGATATGACATCATATTTTAACTCAAAATGTGCCTCTGGACATTGATAGAGCAACAAATATATGAAAATCTCCTCAAATTTGGCCATTTTTTTTAATTATGTCGCCTAAAAATTCGAATTTTAGCCAAAATCCTTACAAAAATGTGTCTATATCCACCCAATTTTAGATCGATTTCTAGTTTCATTTGTTACAGGTTTGTGTGATTTTTGTGTCAAAAAGTACGATTTTCTGGGACCAAATTGTGCAAATCACGACCATGAGCTTCAGTTTCACGGCTAAATCACCCCACCCCATTGAGCAAACAATTTCTGCCTTTGTTACCTTTGAACATCTAGTATGATCCCTTACGAACATTTAAGTACCTACATGACCAAGTCGAATGATGTTTTCATATATTTCTAGCCGCATATTCGGTTGGTTCGATTTCAACTCTCAGAAAATCGATTTTTGGCCAAAAAATCCTTAAGAATAGGCCTTTTAGGGTGAGTGTCTTTGTGCAAAGTTATTTTTCCCCGAAAATATGGGGAGTCTTACCAGACAAAATCGGCAACATGTCATGCGGTCTGGATGTCATACGGTCTGAGACACGATGTCGTAAAATAATGCGACAAGGGGTCTGACAAAATATTGTGTTATCAGACGACAAGGGGTCTGAGACACTACGACGGTTTTTTACCGTTACCTGGTCTGACGTTTTTGCGTCATTTGGTCTCAGGCACTAATTCAGAATAAAAGGGGATAAGTGACTCATTACGCTGAATCCCCAAACTTTTTTGTAATCCTTTTATGAATGCTGATTTTAGTTTGGAATTTTAAAAGTAAATATGTGAATGAAATAGTTAAATGTAAATGGAAATGAGAGAAATAAATTTTGTAATCCTTTTATGAAGGCTGATTTTAGCTTGGAATTTCAAAAGTAAATAAATGAAAGAAATAATTAAATGAAAATGACAGAAAGGAAATATATTTTCTCACTTTTTTATGAAGGTATACCTTGGTTATGAATGATTACCATATGCAGTGAAGAACCATTGACTTTGGTTCATATCGACGAGCTATATCCAGATGATCTCGAAAAACTGTGACATCTCACAGTTCTTCCGATCGAATATCATGCACAAAATTGAAAAAATGAGCCTTATTTACAAAATTTTCACCTAAAACTCTGTTGTAATTTTCCAATTTTGAGGTGGTTCGCTGTGGGACTGCATTCGCGTTGTGGTGTCTGAGACACGGCAACGCATTTCGCGCATAAAAAAAACGACGTTGTGTCTGAAACTTTCACGTCGCCGTGTCTGAAGAAATCAGACACGAATGCGCATAAAAAAAGGACATTGTGTCTGAGACACGATGACGTCCAGACCGCATGACGTTCTGCCGACAAAAACTCTGAAAATTGGCTTTTTGAGGTACCTCCCGAACAAAAGTTACGTTTTTCATGCATTTTGCTATGGAAATATCATTTTTTTGTTCGGGAGGTACCTCAAAAATCATTCTTAAGAGCTTCTGTTTGAGTAGATTCCCAATTTTTTTTTGAAAAAAAAAACTTTTTGCTAAGACATCTATCCAAAAAGTGTATTTCTAGGAGCAACAAATATATTTGTTGCTCTATCAATGTCCAGATGCACATTTTGAGTTAAAATATGATGTCATATCGATAGCTCGGAACAAGTTGAGTCGAATAAAGGTGTTTTCAGATTGATTTATAGTGAACTGGATCACCATAAGTGGGCAAATATACAGAAAAATGACAAATTTCGGCGATTTTTGGCAAATTGACACTATTTTTTTAAATATCCTGAAAACTCGCTGTAAATCGATCCTATTCAACGTAATTTTCTACGCGCTACTAAATTACTACCAAAAAACGGTATGTTTATGCATCACATTTGGAGCAAATTGCGATAATATGTCGAAAAATTGTCATTTTTCAGGTGATTTTCTAAAAAAAGCCGGGGTGACACCAGGCACTAAATATAAAAAAAGTGCCAGAACAAAATTTTCATCTCTCCTCATGATCTATCGATCCCGCACTATTAAATTTTGAATCCATTTGCTCTTAAAAATTGATCACCCCTATTGTACATGGAAAATGAACGTTCGACATCGGTTGACGTAATTGGAGCAAATTTGAACGCGTCTATTTCAGTCTCCAAATGAGAAAGAAATTCAAAGTGCCAAATCGAGTCGTTCGAATCAATTAGTTATTAGTGCGCGAGAGCGTTATTTACATATTATTCGATGACTACACATTTGCAAATGCAGGCGATCGTTCGATCAGCTGATGAATAAAATTTGTAAACGTCTACACAGTAATGTATACACTGAATACTGTCGAAATAGCACATATTGCAGAATTGCAACTTTTGGTTTTGATCGACTATAAGTGAGACAATTCGATATAATTCCATTATCTTCGATTTGCAAAGTCATGTAGAGACGTGCAAAGTGCATTTGCAATGTTTTGCCTTGAAATATGACTCATGTCCTATTGCAAAATTTATGCTACCTACATCTAAAATATTTATCATTGCTTGAAAAATACTCAAAAATATTTCTGAAAAGACGTCAAAAACCTTAAAATATTTACGAAAAACTCGAAAATTGGGAAATATTTATTTATTTTCAAAAATGGCCAAAATATTTATTTAAATATTTTTTATTTAAATAAATATTTTCGGTTGCCTTGGATCTTCTTTTGAATAAGCTTTGCACTAGGGGCTTCACGCGATTTTGCAGAACGCAAATAACTCTGAAAAAATAAAAATAATAGTGAATCAAACCTTCAACCGATAATTTGAACCACTTTTGAAAAATTTTGGTGGATTACGGTGAATATTGGAACATTTTTTTACTATACAATCTGCACAAATTTACTGGTATGCACGTTAATCTCAAATATCTATGTATATTTAACAATATTCATTAGACTGTAATGTCAAAAAATGTTCCAATATTCACCGTTATCTACCAAAATCGTTCAAATTTACGGTTGAACGTTTGATTCACTATTATTTTTATTTTTCATACGTATACACGTAAATTTCACATATCGGCCATTCCACACGAAATCAGGGAAGAGTTGCAATGTGAGGTCGCCGAATTGGCTGAAAATTCGCTTGGAGTCTTGTTTCCGATAGAAAAAGAGAAAACCAAAATCTCAGGCCTAAAAGTGGCCCGCCTTTCTGAGTTAACCCAGTGTGAATTTTTGGAAAAATTGAAAAAATCGAAAAAAAGGGTTTGCGCCAACTAAAATCTAACTGTGAAGTAGTTGACACATTGCCAAACCTATGGCACCGTTGGAAAGGAAATTGATGGGGCTACAAAATCCGCCTAGTAACCTATCCTCTATGGCCCCATTGGAACCTCCAAAAATGGGTTCAAAGTATAAAATGTTAAATATCTCAAAATAGTGGGGTTTTTTTGGCATGTTTTTTTTGCGTCAAAAGATAGCCCATGTTACGTCGCTTCAGATGCGAAAATAAAATTTCGTGTAACAACCATTCAATTTTTTGTATTTGGCCTCGGCAGGTGAATCATATGTCATTTTTCACCGTTTTTGTGGGAGAAATGGTCGAAAATGGCCTCTAACGACATTTTGATATGAGAAAACTGCTATTTTTCGTCAAAATACATGAAAAACGACCTTTTCCACATCGGTTTACCTATAAATTTTGTCCGAAACTGACTTTTCTTCATAGAACAAACGAATGGTTGAAATCTGCTTACAAAATCACATTTGTGGCATAGAAAACCCACCCATAATGGGCTGTCATGATTCTATTTCCACGTAATTTTTGACGGAAAATCGATTGAGACTTATCTCAATCCTGTCTGATGGTTCTAAAAGGTCGCAAAATGACCCTGCTTCAGAGGATGTTTTCAACTCGCAATAAAAACACTTTTTTTGCTTCAAAAATTCCCTATTCTGCATTCAATCGTGAATGACTTCTATTTTCCAGCGTAACAAATGAAAATATACCAATTTGCTTACCATTTGGGCTCAATTCAGCGTTTTATGTAGAAATTGTTCTGAAAAACGGTCATTTTGTATGGGAGGTATCTTAAATTTGCGTAATTCGATAATTTTACGTTAGAAAACTCCTATCAATTTTCGAAAATAATGGCGGCCTGTGAACAATCAAACACCCATTTTGTTGTATTTTGGTCTCAAATCGACTTTGGCATCGAAAAAATCACTCAAAATGGAGATTTTACATATAAAACGCTGAATTGAGCCCAAATGGTAAGCAAATTGGTATATTTTCATTTGTTACGCTGGAAAATAAAAGTCATTCACGATTGAATGCAGAATAGGGAATTTTTGAAGCAAAAAAAGTGTTTTTATTGCGAGTTGAAAACATCCTCTGAAGCAGGGTCATTTTTCGACCTTTTAGAACCATCAGACAGGATTGAGATAAGTCCCAATCGATTTTCCGTCAAAAATTACGTGGAAATAGAATCATGACAGCCCATTATAGGTGGGTTTTCTATGCCACAAATGTGATTTTGTAAGCAGATTTCAACCATTCGTTTGACGCCAAGCCAATTTTCAGCCAATTCGGCGACCTCACATTGCAACTATTCCCTGATTTCGTGTGGAATGGCCGATATCTAGATGTATATTCAGTAATATTCATTTGTCGTTCAAGATGAATATTGTTGAGTATGCATGGATATTTCGGATTTACATGCATACCATTGAATTTCTAAGTTATTACTTGATGCGTGCGGATATAAAAAATGAAAAAAATGATTTTCCCCCTAGGCTTTGCACTAATATGGATTTGTCTGAAAATTTTGGAGTTATAACCCATAATGTTGAGAAAAAAATCTGAAAAATGACGTTTTTTCTTGGGGTAGGGCCTAGAAAAAAATTAAACACCATAAAATATGGTTTTTAACGGGCAGCTGCAACGTTGCGCTTCAAACACAAAAAGCGCCATCTGCACATATTTGACTATTCAATGTGAACTAGCTGTCATCAGTATCGTTGAGTCATCGATGCTCAATTTATTTTGGGTCGTAAACGGTACATTGAAAATTTCAAATGTGCCGTTTATGACCCAAAATTGAGCATCGATAACTCATCGATACTGATGACAGCTAGTTCACTTTGAATAGTCAAATATGTGCAGATGGCGCTGTAAAATCGTTCACCACTGACAAACGTCAAATTAGTATGGAAAGAAGTCAATGTTGCAGCCTCCCGGTTTTTAAGATTGATTTGAGCTCATATTTAAGTGCCCTAGAAGAAAATAATAAGATCGGGAGAGACGCAAAAAGTGTGTGGCACTGTGTTATTATATCATTTTTTCAATTTTACATATTTCAGGCTCAGCAAATGAATCAATATTCTACTTTTTACAAATTTCAAATGAGAACAACTGTAGAGCGATACGGATTTAAATTGAAATCGTTTTGAATAAAAACTTACGGATTACTAAAAAAAATTCCAATAAGTCAAACTATGAGAATTTCCAACCGAGCAACACTCTTTTTCCAAAGAATGAAGGTAAACGCGTAAATTACCTTCATTATTTTTGCCCATAAATCGAAGTGCACTTCCAAGAAACGGATGGTCATCCAGCGAAGGTATGTTCCGGATAAGTTTGGACACTCTTCGTTTGTGAAGAAACCAACTGAGCAAATAACTTAGCGGCCACCAAAGTGAAATCACTGCCAATGCGACCAGTAAATCATATTGAAACAGTAACATCTTTTCACAATCACAATTCAGCAATAAATGCTTCAGTCAACACGTCATTCGCACGTCCAAACTGAACGGAATATATATTTTTCTGATTTCAAATGGTTTTTTTTATGGAAGACTGTTGGTAATTCATAAGTCATAACAAACTAAATTAGTTTCTCGAAATGTCAACGATTATAATAAACTTTCTGGGGAATGAAAACGAAGAATTATAATACTTATTTTGCATTTCATGTTATTTTTATTTCCCTTTTAACTACTACATTTCGAACTTAAGATCACTCGTGTGTGTTATACTGTAATAAAATTGAAGGATTCACGATTTTAAAAAAATTAGGTACTATTTTCAAAGTGCACGATCCTTTTAATCGTGATCGATTGTTTTCACATAGAGAAAAGTACACGATCGTATACGACCCTGGAGAAAAAAAAATTGGTTTCCTGAGTTTTTAGCCAAACACAACTTCCATGCAACGTCTTAGCCAATTCTGAAGGTCCTTGTGAATTTTGGCTAATTTCATGTGGTATGGTCGATTGGGAGGTTTACGGATGTATGGATGTATAGATTAGCAGCTAAAGCTCGTATATATACGTAACCGAATTCATTGAAATTAATATTAATATTCAGGAATTAAGGAAAAATGCAATAATCAATTGATTACTTTGCTCTGAAAAACATATAAATATTTTATTCAGCTCAAAAACTGGACATAAAATGGTTTCGTGAAAAGAGAAAAGTTTTAGTTTCTACTGCAGGAAAACAAAGTCAATTCAAACAAACTTGAAAACCTTCATATTACGGTTTTATCGGAAAAAGGGGAAATGCGGGATAAATCAAATTTACCCCCTCCCAGGATTTGAAACCGTGCGCCAGTCTGAAACAAATACATTGCCCACCTGGGGCTGTGAGAAGTCCAATGCTACGATTGAAAAACTTGTGTCCTTTTTTTCGATGCAGCCATCGATGTAGTTCATGACCGTTTGGATGTCATCTGGGCGGTCAATGACAAAGAAGCTCTTTGGTCCGAGCCAACAAACAAACGGGATTTTGGTTTTAAAGAGAATATCTTTCAGCACATCCATAATTTCTGTGAAATTTTCATACAATTTTAACAGTTGGAAATGGATTCATTTTTTGTTTAATAAATAATTTATAAATAGTGAATATTAATGATATTAATTAGGTCGAAAAATTTGTAATCTCTTAACATTTTTTTCAAACCATAAGGAAATGCGAAAAATATCTTCATTATTTTTGCCCATAAATCTTAGTGCATCTGCACATCCAAGAAATGTGTATAGTCATCCAAAGATGATATATTCTGGGTAAGTTTATAAAGAAACCAGCTGAGGAAATGACTAAATTGCCACCCAAGTGAAATTACCACCCAGTAAATAATCCCAAAATAACAACATTTTATCTCATTTTCATTCACAATTTGGTAATATTAAACGCTGTACTCAACAAATTTTTTGTACAATCATGCTCGCAAGCTCAGTTCGAATACATTCTTGCGGTATTTATTTTGTTGACAATATTTCAAATATATTTTTCGATAGAAAAGTATGTCCCTGTCCCTTCTCGCTGATAGACAAAAATCTATTGCAGTGAAATTTCGCTTAACATTCTTAATTCACACTCAACGATCACTGCTTCGTTCAAAGATTCAGATCAAACTGAATTAATTTGCTAAATGCAGTGGTAATAATTACTTTCTGGGGAATGGAAACAACAATCTTTAAGAACTACATACAGAACTCTAACGCTCTCTTATTTTAAGTTTGTTAACAAAAAAAAGTAACGCATGCGGAAAAGTTTGGACTACAAGCATATAATTCGCTCTCTCTAATTCAGTTTTTAGTTTATTGTCATTTTAATTTAAAATTCAAAGGTAAAATATATTTCACTCACTTCTGTTCAATAATTTTCTGATATTTCCTGTTCGTTCTGAAATACATAGAGAAGTAGAAAGATATAAAATTGACAATTTCAAAATTATTTCAAATAATCGCTTTAGCTTCTAAATTAAGAACATGTTTTTAGTTCTTTACGTCAATCAGTTCATTTTTATCCATTCACATTTATTGCTTCAATTGATATAAAGCATCGCCATTGACTAGATACACAAAAGTATGTAAAATCTATGGTAATTAACAACAAAACATGACGCACTAGAACATGAGATTAAAGAATCTTCCAAGAAGACATTATATTTTTGATGCGAATTAAACTGCTATCCCGGCAAAAAAAATACAAATAATACAACCGATTTAAAGGAAAATGTGAATAAAAAAAATTTATTTTTGATTTTTCGTCAGTTGAGACGTAGATTAATGCGAAATTTTAGATATTTTTCATCTCATAAATTAAAACAAAACTATAAATCGATAGAAATCCGTAAATATTTTGTCTCTTTCAATGGCATAAATGTGTGCCTCTCGTTGAAATTGTCAAACATACCCACTATTGAGTGTGAATTTTTACTGTTTATTTTCAAAGCTTGTACGAGATTGGTTCAGTACAAAGCTAGCAGCCCATACATGATTTCATTTCATTGTGTGAAAATATTGTGAATGCATCATGAGTTGAACGTAATGCAAAAAGTGGTTCGTTTTCAAAGACATGTGTGGTGCGTTCACAATATTACTTGGCACTCATATTTGAGCTGCTGTTTGATGACGGTTCAGTTGTGCTGAACTAGCCTTGTTTGTCTTCTGCGAATATGAATAAAACAAAACAATGCATTATAATGCGGCTGAACATTACGTGCTAGAGTAGTCGAAATACATGTTCCGCTCGACGTGACGCTATGAGTACCTCACTCTAACACACTATGAGTGTGCAGTAAACTCAAAAATATTCGCGCGCTCACACTTGTTCGTCGCATTATACTCACATATACTTATTACGTCGTTTATAGTTCAGTATTGCTTGTCATTTGGTTTGTTATTTTTCATGCCACTAGTCATTTGAACGTGTGAGAATCGCAAAAATACAACACTTTGGAATTGAGTTTACAACATTAAACGAAATTAAATCATAACATTGGATAAACAGTACATTAAGTGTTAAAAATGTCGAAAACTCATCGTCGCAGTGGGAAATTCCCTGGTGGTTCAACAAAATCAACACCAAATCCAGTTCTTATAACGCATGATGAATTAGATCAACTCATCGCAAAGTTGAGACTATGTGACCAAAAAACGAAGACACTTGTTTCATTTTTGAAAGAGAATAATTTGATGGCGAATGACACCAAACAACAGACATACCGAAATTGTGAAGCAGAAATTCAAAAGTGCTTCACTCTGAATGACGAAAAAACCTTCGCGTACTGCAATGACGTAGAAAAGTTGATGGAATCGATGGGTATACAATATGAAAAGGATGAGTGGCGATTGTCCATAGACATCTCAAAGTCGACCTTGAAGTTGGTGTTGTTACATAAATCGAATTCGAAACCATCAGTTCCAGTTGCATATAGTCCGGATGTCAGTGATTTCTACGACAAAATAAAAGAAATTTTGAACTTTATCAAATACAATCAACACCAGTGGCTCATATCCTGTGAACTAAACACAGTGGCTGTGCTGTCGGGCTTGGTGCGTTTTGTAGGCTCCATATGTTTTATGTGTGATTGGAGCGCTAGTTGTTGCGGAAATCCTTACGATCGCATCTGGACAAACCGTAGTGAATGGGAAAGGGAATTCAAAGATACAACAGTAACCCGTGATGCTCTTGTTTCACCTGAAAACATACAGTCGCCGCTACTTGAAATTATGCTTGGAATCGTGAAAAATTTCTTGGCCGCTGTTGCCAAACGAGATTACGCATATCGATGTTTGATCCGCATTTTTCCAAAACACAGTCTAATCCAATTAAAGCGAGGTATTTTGAGTGGTCCCGAAATACGGGAATTATTGCGACGTGAAGAATTCGATGAGGTTTTAATAGACAATGAATATGATGCATGGCAAGCTATAAAAGAGATAATCAAGGGAATGTTGGCCGGAAATCGCTCTCAAAATTACGAAAACTCCGTGAAGCAAATGCTGACTTCCTTCTGTAATTGTGGCGTTGACATGTCGCTTAATATTCATTACGTTCATCACCATTTGCTGTTCTTCAGCCAACAGTTGTCGACCGAATCAGTTGGGCAAGATCAACGACATCATCGAACCGCAATGCCATTCGAATTAAGGTAAGAGTTAGACACAAGACATTTGTGTTCAACTCATAGATATCAGAGGTTTTATGTCATTTTGAAACACATCGTTTTGCCATTTTAGGTACAAAGGAAAGAAAACACCTGATGCCATACTCGCTGAAACTTGTTGGTGGTACAAAAGCATGTTTGAGCATTACGAAGTCGAAAAAGATGCCGAAGTTGGAAGAAAACCAGACGAAGATTTGGACACTTTTATCGACTCAGAGAGCTCTGATGATGATGACGATGATACCAATCTCCAGTCGGCAACGAAAAGAAAACGGAAATGAATCATTCATTCCAAAAGACAACTCACAAATGTTAAATCAATTGATGAAGTTTCATTGATTGCATTTAAGATTGCTCTTTTTATAATTGGATCAAAGTCAAATGAAACGATCTGAGCGTTGAAAAGCCATAAATTTACGGAAAAATTATGTTAGTTTTTCTCCACGATTTTACCTCATTTTATACTTATCGAATTTAGAAGAATAAAATCTATAAACATAAAATTGAATGTTCGTTTGTTTGTGTCTGTAGCGATTGTTTGTCTACTTTTTCAATTCGCGGCTCTGCTGTTTTGTGTTTGATTTATGACGATCACCACCTACCTAGATAAATGAAAGTGATTGATATAATGAACAGAGACACTATAGCACATTGCTTCAAATACACTATCGTTCTCTCTTTATGTACACTTTGACATTATTCATGCTTTGGTGCAAGTCATACGTTTTTCAACATTTGTGTTCAGCTCAACTATTTCTGACCGATTTCACGGATTTTTTTTTATCGAATATTTATATTTATAGCGTGTGTCTTTTTAATGGTTTTTGAATGTTTATTGTTGTTGTTGTTGTTGTTGTTGTTGTTGTTGTCTTTTTAACGTCGTACCAATTTTTATTTCTACCAGAAAATCTTATCTCAGTAGAGACGTGTCTTGTTTTTTTTGTGTCTAAAATGATTGTCTAATTTGTTTTGCAAAGCCTTCTGTGTAATCCTTTTTTCAATGTCAAAAGTATAAGTGCTACAGTTTAAATGGAATTTGTAAAAACATTGGGTTTGAAACAAAATGTAGAACGTACATTTCTATTATTTATTCTAGCATGAGTTTGAATTCAAGATCGAATAAAGCCACATCACTGTGTATGCAATTCTTAACGTACATAAGATAGTGTCATAAATCAAACCTGTGCTTCAGCTTCACTTATTTGAGATTCAAAGTATTTCGTTTCATGCCAGAGATAATGTCATGTATTAGGTAACAAATAAGGTTTTCAGTTCGTTAGAAGCGGCAAATACCATAGATGACAAGTAGAATTCATTTTGAGGGATTTATGACAACAGCAGCTCTTTTCTGCAAATGTTTTATTTGCATGAACTTAGAGATAAAACTGCACATTCAAGAGTATAATATCGAAACAATCCGTGAGGAATGCCATTATCGGCTGAAATTTTGATTTGAAGTGATTCAAAATGACGAAACAATCAATTGGGCACGAACAAAGTGCCAAATATCAGTATTTTGCTGCATTAGTGGGTAATTTTGAAGAAAATAACTTTTTTTGTGTTCAAAATTCAAAGAAAATCGTTTTTTTCCCTACTGATTCGAATGAATAGTGAATATTTTTCTGATGTGTTATGGTGTAACGTGCGGCTGGGCCAGTCCTAGCATAATTTTGCTAATGTCAGATGAAACACCGTTACCATCTGGAAAAATTACAATGGACGAAGCATCATATGTTGCTTCACTTATATGTATCGGAGGGTTGATTGGAAATATTGTCTTTGGTTTCATTACAAACAAATTTGGTCGCAAAATTCCACTACTGTTTCTGACACTCCCAGCCATTGTAAGTAGAATAACATCATTTTTGTTGTTGAATATTTCCAAAGAATATGTGAAAATCCATTTTTAGATCAGTTGGACGCTCATTTGGTTCGCTCAAAATGTTTATTATTTATATGCAGCGAGATTATTGGTAAGAATTTTAGAAAAACGATTGAGGGGATATATTAAGAGAATGGATATTTCCAGAATGGATTTTTTGGCGGCGGAATCTATACCATAGTCCCATTGTTCTTGTCTGAAATTGCGGTCGATCGGTGAGTGTATCTACTTGATTACAATAATTAATGTGACAAATGAATTAAGTGTGAAAATTTCAGTGTTCGAGGGGTTTTGGGCTCAACATTGGTTTTAAGCGGTAATATCGGAATATTGATTGCTTTTACTCTCGGCAACTATTTCGACTTCACAATTACACCAAAATTTGTAATTGCCTCGGCAGCATTGTGCTTTGTTTTACTTTTTTCCTTCCCGGAAACACCACTATTCCTTATGAAACAGAACAAAATATCTGTATGTGTTAACAAAAACTTATTGATTCTAAAAAAAAATTCTCAATGAGGACAACATTTTGTTAGGAGGCTGAAAAATCAATTCGATTTTATCAAAATTTGAAAGGAGACACTGATTATGAAGTGCTTCAAACGGAAATGAATAAATTGAGAAGTTCTCTTGAGGGAAACAGCCCAAACAAAACAACTAACAATTCATTGAAGTGTTCTGATTTGATGACTGGATCGGGTAAAAAGGCGATGATAATTGGCATTGTTTTAGCAGCACTTAATCAACTGTGTGGATGTTTTGCCATGTTACAATACACGGCGAATATTTTTAAAGAAGCTGGCTCGAATATGTCACCCAATATGTCCGCTATTGTTGTGGGAGTTATTCAATTGTTGGGCTCATACGTAGCTAGTGCACTCGTCGATCGAGCTGGACGAAAGGTAAAGTTTGTTTTCATAATTCAATTATTATCTTTTCTCATCATCATTTGATAATAATGAAAGTATTCTTTCCCTCCAGTTTTTGTTTGCAGTTTCAACAATTGGAATTGCATGCGGATCAATCACTTTGGGTGTCTATATGATGTTAAAAACATCCGGCTATGATGTCGAATCGGTCAATTGGATTCCAATTGTGAGCTTTTCATTTGTAATCTTCATTGCTTCGTGGGCCGTGTTGACCTTACCTTTCCTAGTGATCTCCGAAATCCTCCCGGAAAAGTTGAAAAACTTTGGCACTTCATTTTGTATGGCAATTTTATGGTCGTCTTCATATGCCATGATCAAGTATTTGCCACTTTTGACGGATACATTCGGATTCCATGGAACATTGTTCATTTTTTCTGCTGTTTGTTTGGCTAGCGCAATATTCATCATTTTTTACATGCCAGAAACAAAAGGGAAAAGTTACGAAGAAATCATGAATTTACTTCAATAAATTTTCGAATCGATTTTGATAGGATAAAATTCTTTTAGCAAAATGCAATTCATGCTTAGTTTACTTAATTCTTGTATGAATGTTAACATCACGAAATACATCAAAACAATGACACTGTGAGTCAAAATTCAACTTTCGGTCTGCGCAAAGCCAGCGATTACACATGGCCCAAGATTTCGAATGATCGAAACTTCAAGGCCAGTTCGTCACCATAAAGAAATTATCATAAAAAAATTGGAAGAAAAGATATATTTCTTAAGCCTTAGTGAATAAAAATTCATCCCAAAGAAGATAATTTGACCGCTAATTCGTAATTAGTAATTAGTAGGAGCTTGAAAGAAGCTAAGTTTTTTTTATTGCTATCTTAAGCAAAGTTGTTTATCTTCGCTTTCTTTGGAATTAATTTCATGTTTTTTATGAGAAATTAGTGCTATTACTAGCAATAATTGTTGTTGTATTGCCGAACGTTTTTTTCTTTTCCAATGATTTGGTTTTTGTATTGCCTCAATACGTTCGAATTGCCGTTTGTTCAACTACACCACTAAAGCGAGAAACGTCACTCATTCTTTTTTCTTTATTAAAGAATTTATTGCTCGTCGTTCTCAAACAATAACGACTAACAACAGCAACAAAAAAGAGAGCGCAATCTCTCCTCAATAAACTATATCGAAGAGTGGTTCTCTCGTAAAATAAAAACCAACACAAAAACCTTTCGCAGTAATACACTGCAAAAACAATGTGTGTAATGGCAATGCTTGTCACACTTTGAGCCTACGTTCAACTGAATTACTAGCGAGCTAAAACGTCGTTCGGCAGGTGGCTGAATGGTTAAGCATCAGACCGGCAATCTGAGTATGCGGTGTTCGAGTCCCGCACTGCCAAAATTCTTTTTCTTTAATAAAGAAAAAAGAATGAGTGACGTTTCTCGCTTTAGTGGTGTAGTTGAACAAACGGCAATTCGAACGTATTGAGGCAATACAAAAACCAAATCATTCATGTTTTTTATTTATATTCTTAAATGTTAAGTATGTCTCATGTTGAGGTGTTAAAGAGTGTGTGTTGATATGGCTCGGGTCGTCCCGGTATTTCGCTGCTCTCTTGGAACTGATAGAAGCTAACGACACAATGGTTTCGACAAAACTTTAGTACACAAGGCCTTCTACAGCTTTGTTTCAAACAATCATCTCTTCTCCACATATTATCTCAACGACCCAAATATAAGGGAAGTTCTTCTTAAATGGGACAGTCGAGTATTTTTGACATCTGACAGTGACAGCGAAATGTAATTAACACCAAACGATCAGCTCGACGAGAGCTCACTTTTGGTAGTATTCCGAAGAGTAAAGACGCATTTCTTCGTAGTGAAATGATTAGCTTGTGAAATTTGGCCAACACCAAGTTTTTTTTAATTAATTTGTGCATACCCACGGTTTGAAATTTTGTGAACATTTTTTGAAGGTAAATACACTCAGTAGTTTGTAAATTGAATCTTTTTCAAGTGTACGAAGTGAAATTTGTTGCTATTGCGTCAAAAACATTTTATGATGACTCACAAAAATGGCGGCCAGTTTCTTAAATGGGACAAAAATGTCTTCTTAAATGGGACACTGTGTATTTTTAAGTTAAGAAAGATGGGGGCAAGATGGGGCAAATGGTCTGCAGCAAAGTTGTTTGTCGTGAGTCGCTCTACAACTTTTACCAACACACCCTAACGATAAATCCACCCATTGGCCCAGAAAACGGGGATAAAATTACTTTTTTGACCCGAAAATTTATTTTTTTCTTGTAACGGTTTTTCAGACATAATGTGAACAAATGTAAATGTAATGTATACTGTTGGATAGGTATTCATGAGTACTACAATTTTGATCCAAGGAGCAGTTCCCTATTAAAAACAATATATTGAACACTGTTCAATCAAGTATTGTATGTAAATATGTGATTATAAATATATAGTAAGTCTGTTAGTTTATTTTACTGGATAAACTACTCCTCGGAACAAACCGAAATAAATGATGCCCGACTGTTCTTATTATATCAAAACGTTAGCATTCTATATACAATTTTGTATATGCAAATTCTCTGATGGAACAAATCGGTTTCGATTTGTTAACGATTGATGATTGATGATTGACGCAGACAATATGGAACAGATTGCTTCTTGACTTAATTTTTAACTTAATGGTAAACGTCGAAAATCTCAAGCTGATCTGCTAATATAGTTATTTAACGAAATGGAAAAGACTTTCATTACGTTTTTTCATTAAAAATGAAGTAAATTTCCCTTTGTATTGAATGAAATGATTCGGAAACCCCGGAAATTAGAAATTTTCCATACAAATTTTCAAACCTGAAATTCATTTCTAATTTCTGAGGTTTTCTAATTCTCGGGTTTCTAATTTGCGGGGGCGTACTGTATATTTGAAACATACTCGACCCCAGCTACACCATAGAAAAATAAATCAATTTTGGCTACTGTCAATAAAGTATAGGTGTGCCCAAATGGGCTTAACTATAAAATGAAGTCGTAGACCAAGGTAGCGACGAAAAAACATCATTACTCATTACTTTTCTCACTTTTTATAATCCGAAAGTCGATTAACACTATGACTGTTCTTCATATTTGCAACATATTACTGTTCTTGGGGGACTCCAGGGCCCCCAAGATACTTCATATGAAATCTGGACTGTTATAAGAGATAACAAATTAGTGTCTGAAGCAAAGTTGTAATACTCAAGGTTTGCTATAATTTTGTTGCAACAAATATTGCTTATCTCTTATCAGTTCCGCGAAAAACGTGAAAAAACGCGAAAATCGCGAAACTTTTCCACCTCGTTTTAGTGAAGCCGATAAGAAGTAAGAGACTTGCCTCTTCGACAGAAATGTAGAGCAGGTCGAGTACTACAACTTTGATACAGACACCAAGTCGTTATCTCTTATCAGTTTCGCGAAAAATGATGAGCAAAAACTCGCGTTTTTTCGCGTAACTGATAAGAGATAACGACTTGATGTCTATGGTGAAGTTGTAATACTCAAGCTGCTCTACAACTTTGCCGAAGATACCAAGTCGTTATCTTTTATCAGTTTCGCGGAATACGCGAGAAACCGCAGAAAACCGCGGAAAAACGCGTTTTTTCCTTATCATTTTTCACGGAACTGATAAGAGATAACCAGATGGTGTCTAAAGCAAAGTTGTAGCTCTGGTCGAGGACTATAATTTGCCCCCAAGTCGTTATCTCGTATCAGTTACGCGAAAAAATGATAAGAAAACATTCGCGTTTTTCACGGTTTTCTGCGGTTTTTCGCATATTCCGCAAAACTGATAAGAGATAACGAGATGGTGTCTATACCAAAGTTGTAAAGCAGCTTAAGTACTACAACTTCGCTACAAGCATCAAGTCGTTATCTCTTATCAGTTACGCGAAAAGCCGCGAAAACCGTGAAAAACGCGAATTTTTTCTTATCATTTTTTCGCGTAACTGATAGAAGATAACGACTTGGTGTCTGTACTTAAAATGTAGTACTCGACCAGAGCTACAACTTTGCCATAGACAACATCTCGTTATCTCTTATCAGTTCCTTGAAAAATGAGAAACTATGAATTTGCGTTTTTCACGTTTTCGCGGCTTTTCGCGTAACTGATAAGAGATAACGACTTGATGTCTACGGCGAAGTTGTAGTACATAAACTAGTCTACATCACTGCTACAGACACCAAGTCGACATCTCTTATCATAGTCCAGTTATAATATAAAATAGCCATGGGGCCCTGGAGTCCCCCAAGAACAACAGCGTAACATGTTTTGCGGCAGGCTGTATTTTACACATACTCACACATATGCATATGTTTTTTTTTCATTCGTGTAGAGAAATGTTCAATCTATACAATGAGACTTAACTCCGGTTGGTTTATACATAGTTTAGTATTTTTATTCAACTTTAAGGTTCGCTGGGGGCCCTGGGTGCCCCAAGAACAATCATAGTGTTAAATGAATAAACAATGAATAAACATTTAAAATATGATGTGCATGTTTCATTTTCACACATATTTTTCAGTTTTTCGGAGTATCCCATTTAAGAAGACAAAGAACCGTGTCCCGTTTTGTATGGAGCTTGGGCCATTTTGTACAGAGTTCTAATGCATATCATCTTAAAGGGTAATGTGTGTAGATAAATTATATATAGATACCCAACCCCTAAATTGTGAGGAAAGGGGTTAAAATTGGGGATATGTTGGCAACCCCAAAATAAAGGTATCACTTCCCAGGGCCATAGCTCCCTAACTATGGGAGGCAGGGCAATACTCCTTGGGTCAGAGTTGTAGTACTCATGAATACCTATCCAACGGTATACATAATATTTCCATTTGTTCATAGTAAATGAAAAATACCGTTATATGAAAAAATGTTATTTTTTGGGTAAAAAAATCATATTATACCCATTTTCTGGGGCTGGGGCTATCACTTGGGTATGTTCAACAAAGTTGTACAGCGTTCCAAGGGGAACAATATTGCTTTAGACCATTTTGCCCCATCTCCTTCAATAACGGGTCTACGGCCCTTTACTCTCCTAAAATTTTAGCCTGGTACAAAGGGCGGTGTTCCTTTTTGTGTCGTACGATGTTTATCAATAAGACTTATACCGTGGAACAGTGGGGCGTAGTGAGTATGTCGATAATATCAAGGTTGACCTGCCCTACAGGGTGTAAACGGGATGTTATAGGGGTGAGTAATTTTTTCAATACCGACACATTGTTGGTCAAGAAATAAACCATTTAGTGGATAACTAT